TATGAAAATAAGAAGAGGTCGGCAAGGAGAGGCTCACAGTTCGTTCCCATAGGAATTCCGACAATTTGTTGAAAAGTTTACCTGCAAATTCAACAAATATGTTGTCAATAAGAAACTCCAGCATACTGATCACTTGTTCCTCTGTGTAGAATGTTTTACCTTTTTTTTCACTATTAACAAAATATGGTCTATGGTGTATGCTACCATTTTTATATTAAAAAGCATTGTGGATTATTTCTTTTAGACGATTTTTCAATTTCACATGGGGAATGGTGGTATACAGGGTTGAAAAATCAAATGTTTTGATAGAATCGATTTCAGAGAAAGATTGAAATATAAAATTATCCAGAAGTTCTTTAGAGTTTTTTTAGAATCCACATATTGTTAATACCACTACGCGCATAAACAGTTTCACAGTATTTCTGAAGACCCTCTTTCACTGGGGACAGAATGTTTGTCAACCTAATGGACAATTCCTTTGTAGAACATGCAGATAAGCCGCCATTGTACCGTTGTTTGTACGGAATTTTGTGAAGCTAAGGTATCCAATACAAACAAGGTTAGTCCTCAGATCTGCATTAACATAAAGTGTATTGAAGCCACGAAGGACTTATAATTCGCCAAAATCTCATCCTTGTCAAATGGTATGTTTTTGTATGTGGGATTACCTCAGTGCTCATTTATTCCTAATTCTTTTACAAGACACACGAAATAGTACGATTTACATACAAAGACAATATTATTTGAAGCTTTTTCCGCACGAACAACAACATATTTATCGTGAAGAGATGATAGACATTTGACAGCTTCTTTGTCTCTTAAAACGAACTATGGTTAATCATTCACACAGTTTATCAACTTATGAATTCGACGTTTTATCAGAGACCTGATTTTTTTTACCAATTCTGACAAAGAGTCTAGTTCAACTTCTTCTAGTTTAGCCCATGCTCTGGCATAGTCCTCAATGGAATCCATGATTATTTTGAAGTTATGGTTTCAATTGATGTGTGGGGTTTCTCTAAACTTAGAACCATGAGATATCACATTTCGGATATGTTCATGTTTTATTATGCTTAGATCCCAAGTAATGACATGGCCTATATGATAAATATAAGGCAAGTGGGAACAGTCACATGTCCGAGGGTTTTTAGGTATTCTTCTAAATCAAGGTCCTGCAATGTTTGCCTATAGTTAAATACTTTAGGTGCAATGGTTTTGGTGTAACTGTAGCATACAATAGGGACAGATTTTGAAAATAAAGTGGAATTTTAGATGTTACCTCCTTGTGATGAAGAACGTTGCTGCATCAATTCCTTTATTTGAAAATTTAACTGGAAGGAATTTCCTCTTTTCATCATGTAAAGGTTACGATCTTACTGGTTTAAAAAGACGAAAAAGAGCTACATCACAAATTATACTGACTAGTCTGTATATTGAAGAAAATGTATCTATGCCTCCCTTGTCAAGTGCATAATCTCTCAAACATTTTATAAAATTAACCGGCAGTGAAAAAAGAATAGTTCTAATGAAATGTAACCCTAGCGGATGATGAAGATGTGAAAGAAGGTCATCAAAGCTTCCAGAGAGCGATCTAAATTTAGAAGACTTTTTACATTGGGCCGATGGTAACATTATTGCCCATGACTACGCTGGTTTCTTAAAGTAGTATTAAATAAGGCCATTATATTAACATCACTGCAGGCTGGACTTGACAAATTTCCTACTCCTTTGAAGTTTTCTTTGCAACCATATGGCATTGCAGTACCTAGTTCCCTTATCCAGAAATTTTCTGTATCTTTTCGGAAAGGAGTACTTAGTATAGGGCTATTGGTGTGGTGATAAATTTTCTCGATGATGCGTACTTTCATAGATAAAGGATCATGAATTGTGGATCTTTATTATCAGACCGGTGTTGATTCATCTTTTTGCGCAAAGTTTGTCGAGTTTCACTAACATGAAGTAGTCCACACAAAGTACATTCATTTCCGTAAACGGCATTGTCCATGGAACAGTCCAGAGGCTCAAAAGATTTAGTATAATGAGTTTTTCCTGTTAGATTACTAGTGAAATCTGGTGTCGTGATTAATATATTCCTTTTTTGTGTTTACAAGTAGAAATAATAGGAGTTGATTCACTTGTAGCAGGTGTCTTTAAACAATTGAAAATATTAACAGTACATGGTTTAATTTTTTGAAAAGTATCTGAATTTTTAAAGTAATAATTACCATCTGGCTGAACATGAGTAAAATCAGGTGTAACCCGAAGGATATTCCGTGGAACACACAAATCAAATGCTACTGTGTTCCATGTAGCAGAAGTAATATATTGTTCTTCTGCGTTTAGTTAAATTGAAGACTATAGGATGTCCTAAAAACAAAAACATCATAGAAAAGTAGTTTTCTGTTTAATGTCGCATTTCTACGCATCACGCATAGTGAATTATCGCACCTCGAGTAAATAGTTACATTGTGATTGGTTTAACGCCGTAACGTGGTGACCCCCTATGGATCCGTAGGGGGTCAGTAGATTTCATATGGGGTGTCATGGCGGCAATGTGAGTTGACTGATATGCCGCTTGGAATTTTCAGATCGGGGTTGATAAACGCAATACCTTATCGATTTATATTTCACAAATCAAGTAATTATTTGGGAGTTGTCCCCCGTTGATCAGTATATAAAATCAGTCAATCGGCAAACCTTGGGTGACTCCGCTTCCCTCCATTTATCAAAAAATAAGTTTAATGATGCTCGGATAATGTCTGTAACCGGACACTAATCCGTACAATCTCTATCCGTTTATCAACGGGTAGACATGCAAGAAAAGCTACAAATGGGACAAACTCTGGGAGTAACTATTGGAGCTGTGCCAGCCCAGATAGATGATTTACCAGCACCTTCTATTAGACCAGCACTACCAGCACCACCTGTAAGACCAGCACTTTCTCAAAATGAATCTATGGAACCAGCTCTTATTCCAGCAAACACTCCGCAGAGTTTGCATTCCGATTTCGAAGGATTCGATTTAAACGCTATATTAGGGGACTTTAATTATAATGAATCATCCATTAATGTTAGCAACACAAGACTAGCTGCCGGTCCACAATTATTTCACAACTGCAAAATGACAATCATTCAAAATCTAACATTAAACAAATGAAATTCATTCCGAATTTTATTTTTAAAAAAGAAAATCCTCTAAATACTTGTTAATAGTTGTATTAATAAATTCCTACTGTTATTGTTATTTTTTTTCATTATTAAATGTTGATATCTTCTACAAAACTTGGTAGAAAACGCTCTCTGTGCGATAAATTCGTTATTCGGTTCGCTACTGACCCCTATGGAACCATAGAGGGTTAATAAAGTCCATAGGGGACTCGGCCTATGGCCTCACTTCCTATGGATTTTACTAACCCTCAATGGATCCATAGGGGGTCGGTAGCAATCCATATAACTTATAATGTTTGTATTTGTTGCCCCTTCTCTCCCTCCATCATTGGACATCTAACCATATTTGCATGTGTACATGTAGATCGTTTGCGCTCTATATACAGTGCTCTTTCTCCCTCCACCATTCGATATCTTTTGTGCACATATTAAAAGGGAGTTCATACTCACACAGAATTTGCCTAAGATCCTTTATTATTCATCTTATGTCACTTGATTTTTAAAATTGCAGCTTAAGATTATGTATGTTTTCAGGAAATGTTTAAAAATGTGTGTGGTTCCCCCAACTATGCCCTTATAGATGTTGTTTTTCAAGTGATTTCTATAGTTTTTTCTTATGTTGTGCTGTTACACCTCTGTCTCATGTTAGGGGAGGGTTGAGCGCTCTCAAACATGTTAAAACCCGCCACATTTTGTATGTGCCTGTCCCAAATCTGGAGCCTGTAGTTTAGTGGTTGTCGTTGGGTCATGTCTGTCATATTTGTTTTTTCGTAAACTGTTTTGTCATAAAGTAGGCCGTTCGTTTTCTCAATTGAATAGTTTCATATTTTTCATGTCGGGGCCTTTTATAGCCGACTATACGGTTTGGGTTTTTTTCATTGTTGAAGGCCGTACGGCCTTTAATTGCTTACATCCACATAATTTGAACTTGATGGATAGTTGTCTCATTAGCAATCATACCACATCTCCTTATTTTTATATCTAATCATGTAAAAGTCACAAACATTTTGAACACGAATATTACGCGGAATGAAAGAAAAAAAAAACTATAAAAAAATAACAGACAGAAGATGCCAAGCGGACATTCAAAACTTAATTCGAAGAGAAAGACTGAAAAAGGACAGACAAGTCCACACAGTCCATATATACAACACTTTAGCAACACAAACCCCTTAAAAACTGTACAGCTTTAAGAAGGGAAAGGTTAAATGCACCTATTTTTCTAGATATCCTCTCATTCTGAATACTTCATGTGAATTTTATTTTGATACTAAACGAGGAATGCTTAAATAAATGGAAAACTTGATAAAACCGTATCCTGTTAAATTGTAAATTGCTGTAAAAAAAATTAAACAAAATCTTTGAATACAATAAGAAATTTTGCAACATTTAAATACAAAAAAAAGAATAGAAAACAATGAAAAATTAGTTAACCAATTACGTTTAGCCAATGAAAGTGTCATTCTTTTTGTATAAAAATGATTTTCTTTTTTTTTTTCGAAAAAAAACCCCTTTCTTTAGAAAAGATTCTTCAAATTTACCTTTTTTAGTTTTTAGGATTAATCTAAGTTTTTTAAAGTGTTTATAAGTTATGAAAAGTCAAGAGATACGATTGCCAAAGAGACAACTTTTCCACTAGAGACCAAATCAAACAACTATATACATGATATACATTATCCATATGTATTCAAATTTGGTGTCTATGATTATTTATTTTTATCTAGTGTGTTTTCATTATAAAATTCTGTATATTCATTGAAACGAACGAACGGTTTTGTACAGGTATAAGATTATTTAGCCTTGAACATTTTATCTTAAAATAAGTGTGTCAGGTTAATTTATCTCGTGAGAATAATAAAAAGAACATTATGGACGGAAGAAGGTATTTTGAGTACATTGTCGTAGGCTGTGGTGGAGTTGGTAGTGGGACACTATATTGGCTCTCAAAAAAAGCCGGTATAGGTACGTATATACTAGTTTTTTTCTCTATATTACTAAAACATATTATACGTCAGTGATAGACACTTAACATTCATTACGTATAAACATGCATATCACACCATAATCGTGAATGTCCCATAATGGCATGTACTGAATATTCCATTGGCAAACAAATATACATGTAGATACATCATAGATATATATACCTTTCAAAAAGATGGGACTCGTGACATCAAGGCTTGACTGGTCATACAACACATGTTTGGTCATCGTTGGTCTTCTTTCGTCCGGCAGTTTAACATGTGCGGACTGTACAAATAAGCTTGTCCTTATTTTATAGTTAATGCAATCACGTGTACATTTGCGGATTCAGGGGAGGTGTTCCAGGGGTTGGATTTTTTCGTTTCATGTTGTTCCCCTACTTTCAAAATAGCTACATGTAGATCCGTGCTTGCGTGCGTCGGATATTGACGTTTTTAAACGACTTCTTACAACAACTACAGTGTATGTAAGAGGTCCGTGTAGGTTGTCTGGTGCAAGGATACAATTTTTCCCTGTCAAACATGCTTCTGCTCTTTGGTCGGTTTGTTGTCTTTTTGACGCATCCCCCGTTTCCATTCTCAATTTTACCTTAGCAGTTTAAATGTCACGCCCTACATGTCGCTGACCTTAATGACAGAATCTATCAATGATAATATTTCTTTCTCGTCTTTAATGTGCACGAAGACCGCTTCAAGGTGCGGGATTTTCTCACTGTGTTGATGATGATGGCTGGCTGCTTAACTTCCAGCGACAAATTAATATGCATATTCAGGACAAGCACATGTTAATGTAATATGAATATCAACCCTGCTTTGAACTAGACCGACACCCTGAGCCGGATTTTTAACGTGCTAGTTCACAAGGTAACAGTCCTCAGGAAGACATATCACCTTACATTGACACATTATTCTGACTCCGACCCGACCAGTCTTTGCTCTTAATCCTTAATGCCGCGTGCCTAGCAAATACCAATTTTTCAAGTCTGTGGTTTGACCCGGCCGGGGTTCGAACCCATGTCCTCCCGCACTCGAGGCGAACACGCTACCACGAGACCACCGAGGCGGTTTCTCATTGCATTGAAGACCCATTGGAGGTCTTTGGCTGCTTTCATTGCTTTGTTTGGGTTGTTGTCTCTTTGACACTTTCCCCGTTTCCATTCTCAATTCTATATGGAATATTTGCCACTAGGCGTAAGAAAGCAATAATCAATCAAAAATAATATAGACATATTTTTCACTACTGTATCAAATGAGAAACGAAATTCGAAAAATGATTTCACAACGGGGAGCAAATGTCTAGAGCTAACACTATCATGTTTTCCTCTGTATTGCCTTCAATTAATAAATTAAAGATTATAGAAATTGCAATAAGCGCTAAGAACAAATTTGTATCAGAGGTGAAAAAGAAAAACAACCTTATAATTGGTTCTTAATATTGATTTGGACACGAGAATACGCCACAGTTGTCTCTAGAGGTTTTGGTTAAAGTGTTATTGTGTTATAGTGTTATAGGTTTTCCATTTTACAGTATACATTTCAAAACTTCTTACTGGTATCACAAACATTACCCTTCTTTACATTGGTTTCATTTCTAATTTCGTTTGAGAAACTCCAAAATAAGCCATTCATTCTAAAGCCTGAAACAAATATCGTTTTATTAAAGTACAATACTACGTAATTCCGTAAAGAACCAAACACACAACCAATACATTTTGTGTGTTGTCGATTATGACTTACTTAGCCACTGTTGATGTTAAAAAATACAATTGATGCAACAGAACATGGAGAGCAAGGTTCGAACTCCCTTGAATTAAGCAAAGTTAACCTAATATGGAAATTTCGGCTATTACTAAAATTTTTCAGTCGTACAGCTCTTCGCGTGTTTCGGTACTTATATATCCCTGTATGGCTTTCAAATATTTGGCATTGAGTGTTCCTGATGAAAGTAAATTTATAAAAGCGTTTCGGACGCATGCATTTTATAAGGTGTTATTTTATTTGCTTTTTTATTATCGCAAAGGAGAATGGCTGGTGGCAAAATGCAACACGAATTCCGGACAGTCAGCTTAAGAATAAAAACTATCTTTTGCCCTTTAACATTCATTAATATAAATGTTATAAATAAATAACTGTGTAAATCTCTATCGACGATTTTGTTTCTCTTTTTGCCACAAGTAAAACTGTGTCAATACTGTAAAACATTCACTTGTGCATGAAGTACACATAATAATCTACAGCTGCTGTGTATTAATTAACCAACCAACGCCACCATTTTGCCTCATTAAATTCAAATGATATATATACGCTTAAATTCTATTTACTAGAAAATGTATACAAAAGCGAACATCCACCAGCATTACTCCAACTATGCTAAATATGTGCTTTGATTTATAACTATTGTATAATTTTAATAGATGTTCTCGGTCTCGAACAGTTTGAACTTGGACACCATCATGGAGGTTCACAAGATCACTCCAGGATTATGTAAATATATTATTGTGTGGGTTCCTTCATAAATATATGGAGATCTAGTATGATTTTCCATGAAACAACTATCCATCAGAGACGTAAGCTACTAAATGTCAAAGAGAGGTCTTCAACAATGAGCAAAATCCATTCCTTATAGTTAATTATAAAATGACGCACACTGACACAAAGTAAAAACAAAGTGAAAACATACCAAAAGAAAAAAATCAACGACCTGATTATTCTAAAACAAGCATGAAAAACATCAACTTTACATGTTTTTAATTTGATTGAACGGTTCCCTTGTTTTATTATTGTGACAGATATAAACTAATAATGAACGAATAAATGTTTTAATTGGTCTCTTTGAATTGTGTTAAGAGAAATAAGGATAATTAGATATACATGTATCTTATTTAATTAGAACTCTGACATTGTTGATCGAATCAATCTTTAACTAGCATTGCACAGTGTGTAAATGTCAATTAGTTTTGTGAGTGTCTTAAATATTGAGAACAATACTTTTAAAAGATAGAACAAAACACTTCAAACATATACATGTGGTGCGTACGAGACCTTTTTCCGTGTTTACATTTACCCTCATCAGGAAAGTTCAAACTCAGATGGTAGTTAACAACTGGATAGATGTTCAATTTGTAAAGATTGCGACAGTGGTGCGTATTGTAAAAATACATGTCCTTTTATCATTGTCATTATTTTACAGACGATTAGCTTACCACGATAACAGATATACTAAACTTACACCAGATACCTACAAAGCGTAAGTATTTTATAACAAACAATTGGTATACTCCATTGTTCTTCACGTTAAGATAGACGTGCATGTAAATATGATTTAGATGACAAAGAAGGAAAATGGAGTAAATTCTAAAATGTTTGGATAGAAAAAAAAACGATAATATTAATAGAAATAGGTTATTTTGATGAACCATAGGAGGGTCTGGATGGGGTCCGTTATTTCTCAATTCTTTGATCTTTTAGGTCAGTTTTTCTCCATTCTTTCCTTTTTTTTTTGCCCATTATGCTCTCTTTTTTTCTATATTTTAGCATCCCATTATTCTTTATTCATTATTTTTCTCTATTCTTTATCTTTTTTTCCTAGTTTTCTGTAGTGAAGATCCCTTATACTCTATTCTGAAACCCCATCAAGACACTCGTATAGCATGTCAATTGAATAGAAAGTTTTCACTCAACAAAACGGCGGATGAGTTTGATAATAAGAAAATTGATATTCTGGACCATTAATTTCGGAAAGCGACTAGTATAGACGGCGCCACGGTGTGTTTTTTTTTTCGATCTTTCTAATTTCATTTACCTACTTCCTTATTTTTACAAAGATGGGAAGCAGTAGAGAAGGAATCCGGTCTACAGTTAGTCTACAATACAGGAGGAGTACAATTTACTAGGAAAGACGAAATGTCTCATGTCATCGATGCTTACGCTAAAGCAATGGCCGAAAATGATATAAGGTATTGTTGACAGTAACAAGAAATTGTTAAATATTTTCTTTGTTTTATTTAGATAAGTAAGTGTATGTGTAAAGATTATATGTGAATTGGACAATGGCGACGCTGAACGTTTACGTTATAGTTATTGACCAAGCAAGCCGGTATATCTCATTTTATCTGCACGGCTCGGGTTAACCTTCTTGACCCAAACGACGTAGGAGTTCAGGTTAATGGGTCATTCCGACCTTGCAGACTAAATGACGTATACCGATTTGATTGGTCAATAACTGTTTTAACACATGACGCCACCAATTACATGAATGTTTTGGAAATATTCGGACTATATTCAATCCTTCGACTCCTGGGAAAGTTTGCTTGTAGGGTAGAGAAAAGCTAAAATACGCATTTAAGTAGTAATTTTTTTTATATTCAGGCAAGGACGTATATACGTCCTTGATTCAGGCTTTCTCCTAACTTGTAACAGCATTTGGAAAATTTTGTTTAAATGGCAGAGCTTAGATTGTTTCTGTTAGATTTATTCACAATTGTTATATAAATTCGTGACAATCAAAACATATCAAATAAGATTTCTTTAAAGTCGACAAGATAAATAACAATACAATATAAGCTTAGACTGTGAGTGATTGTTTGAACCGACATAAACGATTTCAAACTTGACATATAATTGTTTAAACAACTGTCTATTGTTGAACACTATATGTTGCCCTCTAGATTATGTGGTTTTTGTCGTCTGATTGCTGTCTTATTGGCGTATAACCAATATCTCCTACAGTTTTAGTTCTGTTTGATGTACTTTTAAATCTGTGGATGACAAATCATAAATGAAAGGATTATTGAGTATAGATTAATTGCTTTTCTTTCACTCAAGAATATGCTCAGAGGAACTTTAATCGAAGACAGATCTACTTATCATTTTTGTGCAACGTAACTTTATTTGTCTGTTTTGGCACTTACTTGAATGTAAACCTCATTCAATTCGATTCAAAAATTGTCACTAAAAAGGAATGAATATTTCGAAAGTTGTAATAAATTCCATTGAGAACAAAAACTAATCCAAATCAGGTTTCAGCTTTTAAGATATTTTAAGAAATTACATTTTTTTTTTTATCTTGTTTGACTTACGATTCAAAATGTTCATATCATAAAATGTTCTTAGGAACGAGGAGCACTTTCTATTTCATTATTTGAAACAACAAAGTGTATATAAAGTTGTTAATTGGTCAACTATGCCGTGATTGCCAGGTCAGTGGCGGATTCAAAAGTGGGACAAAGAGGGCGTACGACCCCATTTGATTAGAAAATATATAATGTTTAATCCTAAAATCTTTTTTTATGGAATTACGCCCCTATTTCTTTGAAAAATTCTGGATCCGCCCCTAAAGATAAGAGTTCATTTGAACTGTGAGTATATCTGAGGTAGTTAATGCACACCTTAGCTGTGCATTATTCAGATTTTAGCACAGTAAGAACAACGAGATTTTGGCTATGTCACTTGTTAATTTGTCGTCATGTAGGAAATAACAGATATTTTGTTATAAGACCTCACTCATAAGTTTCATAATTTCAAGCTGCCGCCCGATATTTCTTTGTTTTTATGAAGTGAAAAACACTATTTGTCTGAGTTTAAGCTTCGTTCAAAGCATGTATGTATTTGGTTAAAACAACATTAATTTAATGGTACCAATTTTACAGCACCAGATGCGAATTTCGACAATTAATGTATTTTCAGTGATGCTCGAGGTAAAACTGTTCATAGGAAAAGTCGATAAAAGTTGTTTAAAATTGATACCACAGGGTGCTTCTGAAGTATATTTTCAGATTTTAAAATAAATGCCCAAGAGAAAGTTGATTTGTAAAGTAAAGTTTAAGATTAATGTAATATAAGAAATTAATTTCAATGATTACTTGTACGCCGATAATCGACACTTAATGATTAACATGATTATTTTTTTTTGTTCTTAAAATCTCATAAAAGCATGAAGTATAGATCAATAACTTTTTGGCAGAGACATTAAGCAATACATGTTTGCACCTGTCCTAAGTCAGGAATCTGATGTACAAACGTTTAATCCCGCTGCAAATGTCGACCTATCCTAAGTCAGGTAGTTGTCGTCTGTTTATGTAGTTCATACGTGTTTCTCGTTTCTCGTTTTTATATAGATTAGACCGTTGGTTTTCCCGTTTGAATGGTTTTACACTAGTAATTTTTGGGGCCCTTTATAGCTTGCTGTTCGGTGTGAGCCAATGCTCCGTGTTGAAGGCCGTACCTTGACCTATAATGGTTTACTTTTATAAATTATTACTTGGATGGAGAGTTGTCTCATTGGCATTCATACCACATCTTCCTATATCTATTAGACCGTTGGTTTTCCCGTTTGAATGGTTTTACACTAGTAATTTTTGGGGCCCTTTATAGCTTACTGTTCGGTGTGAGCCAAGGCTCCGTGTTGAAGACCGTACTTTGAGCTTTAATGGTCTAAATTTTGACTTGGATGGAGAGTTGTCTCATTGGCACTCATACCACATCTTCTTATATCTATGTATACTTTGACATGCAAATGTCACATTGCTAAACTATATTTAAGACGCCTTTAAATCTGTATCGAATATGATTAAGAACGACAATAAATGATCTTTGATGACTTGTTTTAAGCAAATTTATTTAATCTATATTTCGGCAGTTTTGAAAGACTAACGGGAAGCCAACTCAGAGCTAAATTTCCACAGTTTGAAATTGATGATACATATGATACAATTTATCAACCAATAGCTGGGCTCGTTGATGCAGCTCTTGCAAACTCTGTTCATGTTCAACTCGCTAGAGCCAATGGAGCTACTGTTTTAGAACACTGTCCTGTCCAGAAAATAGAAAAGTTACCTAATGGAAGAGTACTGGTATGTTTATGATGATAACATTTGCAGTTAGCATGGTTAGCGAGTTGTCTTTATAATAATTTTAATTTAATGTTTATTTCTTTTTATGAGGGGAGGGGATTGCTAATTTTTATTCCTGTTGATGGAGTAATTGCATTGTTGAGGTCTTTGCACAAATGCAGCGTGAATGGTATTATGTTAATCTACTAAATCGTACAATCGGTAGGAGATCCAACTTATTTAATTTTATTTTCCAAATTTAATTGGTCCCATAAGTCTCAACGTCTTTACTATAAGGTGACTATCTTTATTCCATTTAGGAGTAACGCAGTTAAAGTCTGTTTAATACATAAGAACCTAAATTGATAACAAAAACATGTATTGTATACAAATATGTTTTTGATACTAAAAAGAAAATGTTTCAATGTATCAAACAACATATTTGTATACAGCTTTTTAATAATCAGTAGTCATTAATATTTAATTAATTGATATATTTTATTTTAAAATGGGACCTCATCAGGAGCATGCGTAGTTAGAATTGTCACAAATTTGGTGAGTGCGAAGACCTTTTCTGGACTTACCAGAAACATTCGAACATTTGGTGTTTTTTTTAAGAAGTAGAAAAAACGTCATTGTAATGACATATTTTTGACAACTAAAACATATAAATGCTAGGGCAAATGGTAAGCTTCTACTTAACATGGTAGGGTTGTCAATTAAAATTTTAGTTTGAAGTAGTTCAGCAGTGAAAATTTCTATTTTGTAATCTTTGATTGTAGAAAAAAATCGAAATAAAGCAGATCGTCTTGTGTTGTGTAATTCGTATTGGATTAGATAATTCGTCGAAAATATCGCTTATCCTTTCCAGGTACATACACCAAAAGGAACATTTCAGTGTCGCCGTCTAATTGTCACTGCTGGTGCTTGGATAAACCATGTTCTTGGATCTATTGGTGTTCATATACCTGTTTATGTTACCCAAGAACAAGTCACATATTTTGCTACACCAAATGTTAAGGATTTCACAAAGGCAAAGTAGGTTTTAATTATAATTTTTTTTTAATATAAGATAACTTTTACTAGTCCTAAATTGTCTGATGTTCTGTTATGAGTCTGGTTAGACTCGTTGGAAGTCAACAATTAATTTATATAGAAAACAAGGAAACCACGATTACTTTTAAGTTAGTTTTCAATGAATTCTTGTTGTAGATTTGTACACCTCTTGATGAACTTTTGGCTTAAAATGAAATTCTATCATAAATATTTGTGAATTTGATCCACTGTTGCATATCAATTGCACTTGCAAGTCTATTTTTATTGATTTGAAGGTACCCAATATGGATTTATCATTCACCTAAGTACGACTTTTATGGGATGCCAATGCATGGGAATTCAGGCAGCAAAATTGGAATAGACGCTGGAGGTCCAGTTGTTGCCGTTGACACACGGAATTATGAACCAGACAAAGCAAGAGAACAAGCCTGCATAGAACATCTGAAGAGAACAATACCAAAGGTAATATTGTGTTTATATATGAGTGTGCCTGACGAGACAATTAAAGTGGCACGCAAGGAAAGTGATAGTAAGACAAGCTTTAGTTTGAAGTTTTCCCTAAATATTAAACAATTTACCAGATATTTATAATATAACATTAGGAGATGTGGTATGATTGCCAATGAAACAACTATCCTATCCATCCGAGTTCAAATGAAGTGGATGTAAGCAATTAAAGGCAACGGTACGGTCTTCAACAATGAGAAAAACCCATACCGTATAGTCGGCTATGAAAGGCCCGACATGAAAAATATGAAACAATTCAATTGAGAAAACTAACGGCCTTATTTATAACACAACATTTTACAGAGAAAGATATAACAGCCATGAACCAACCACAACCACTGAACTACAGGCTCCCGACTTGAAACAGACACATAAAGAATGTGGCGGGGTTACACAAAAGTCATGTTTGGGAGCGCTCAACCCTCCCCTAAGCTGATACATTGGTGTAACAGCACAACATAAGAACAAACTATAAAAATCAGCTGAAAATAGCTTAACTCATCAGGTAGATACAAAGCAGAAAAAAACATCTAACAAAAACACAGACCGGACATGGCAGGGTATTTATACATCCGTAGTAACAAAAGACACAAAGTACAGATCTGAGTAATCGCAGTGTTACTGACAGCATATTCAAAGCCAATAACAGCTTATGAAAGAAATCATTTTTCTAAGACTAATATATCAATCAGTACACATCAAACATCTAACTGATTTAGTGTTAAGACGAAATTATCAGTCAGAGAAAAAGATGACCTTGTGCCATGCCAAAATATAGATATCAACATATTGTAGTATCGTGAAAGTGCATATGTGTACAAACTCATCTAGAAATGAAATAATGTTCAAATATACAGAAAAAGACAACCAAAATGTATCGGATCAAACGTTTTTGTACAGTATGTTCTTAATTGCATAATACAAAGGGCACAGTAAGTATATTTCCGACTCGAAAAGAAGAATTTATTTATATTCAATTTGTATTTTAAAGTTTTTCTCTTCTTTATGAATAAAAAAATATTTTTAGTCCCTAGGACCTATAATGTACACTAAGACATGTCTTTACACGATGACACCGGACCGCCATTTTGTTGTGGATGATTGTTCTAGGAATGGATGGGATAATGTGATCGTTTGCTGTGGAGCCGGTCATGCGTTTAAGTGCGTGGTATACTATGTGTTAATGTAGAATTATTCGAATAAGGACATTTATGATAAAAACATTGCATTAATTACTTTCCTTGCCATAATAACAACACTGATCGTTGATTATGAAAAATAATGATGCTGTACAGTAATACAATATCAATAATATGTAGATAGATAAATTAAACCAGCATCAGAAAGTCACAGAAAGGTCTTTCTGGATGTGCGAACTATAAGCCGTCAACACACAGTGAGCAACTAATAAATCGTAGAAAGACCATAGAAAAATTGCTGAAATCTATTCAATAGTTAAAATACAAATACCACAACACTGTAGGCTGTAGTAAACACTATTACTAAACATCTTATCCTTGTATGTACAATGTATACATGAACTGTGATTTTTTTTAGTATGTGTTTTACTCTTACGATGTATCGTCATACAGGCAAAAGGGGGAGGTTTGTGCACATGTACAACTGGTTTAACCTCACGATATTTTGTGCGGCTGCCAAGTCAGGCTATCTGGACCATGTGTTGTTCGTTGTGTTTGATTTTTTGTTTGTTGTCCTTTTTTTCGGAGGAGTTGATCCTATGTGATCGATGTGGTTACTGTACAGTTCAGTCTTTTTGCGTAATATGTGTTCTGTTTGTCTTTCGTTTCAATTGCCTAAGTGAAATCGAAGAAACCTATGGAAAGTGAACACTTCATATTTTTCCATTTTTTTTCAGATTTGCCAGTCTTTTAGGAAAAATACTAAGTGAACTGGCAATAGATGGCAAAACCAAGTATGATATTTCAAAGTTTAATATAGACAGAGAAGCGATTACAAACCCTGACTGGACACCAACATTATACATGGGTACAGGAGGAAAAGTTCCCACGAAGCAAAGCTCAATTTCGAAACTTTAATAGATTGAACAGTGTATTCGATGAATAATGAAATATAATTGAACTTTTATTTTTGCGAGATATTTATTACAAAGAATATAAAAAATGATACCAGATAGAAGATTCAAAATTTTTGAAAATAGTAAAACATGCATTCATCACGTATAATAGCAAAAACTGGATAACCTATAACAAACAACACACTTAAAAAAAATCATGTATTGTCACTGATGCTCAAGCTTATTATATTTGAAATTGGAACCGAAATTAAACGTTACAACCCCGCAAAACTTTAAAGACTAACCGAACATTCTAATTTCAGTAAAGCTATAAACTAACATGTAAACATACAATCTATGAGTTTGACTGTCCCTCTGGTATCTTTCGTCCCTCTCTTATACAAACGAACATTGTCTTTGTAGTTGTTAATGGAAGTATGCATGTGTATGATATCGAATTAAAAACAAACTGTCAGCGCGGTTTACAAATTGAATCATTTTTTAAAATTATTAGAAATATCTACACAATATATCTGGATATGACGACATTGTTAATACCATGATAATTCAGTGAAATGTACGATCATACCAAGCGTATATTTTTTTACAGTAAATTTGTAAAATCTGTGATTTTGTAAAATCTTCCAAATTGTTAGCGAGTTGAAAATCACTAGCCGTTTTAGTGATTTTGTTAAATGCGTGAAATTGTTAAGATTTTTAAAAATCAATGGCAATATTGATGAGGCTTTTGTAAAATCTATAATTAGATATGTAAGCCATTTGTATACATTCCCATATTTTGAAAAAAAAACATGTTTGAATATTTTTGTTTTAACTGACATTATCAGTGAAATAATTATTTTACATACAATGATTCAGAATATAGGGCATATATTCAAACTTTTAATTAACCTTAATTTAGATGACGCACTCATGCCGGAACCGAACGTAAGACAAGAAGCCTAATGTAAGACCCAGGCCTATGTTTTAAACAGCTAACTCAACACATACAGAAAACATTATACGACACAAATAAGAGATACCGGTAATTTAACTTTGCCTGAGATAAAGATCATAATAAATATTAACCCTTCATTAAGAATTAAAACCTTTGCAAAATATTGGCTTAACAACAATATTACTTTTTTTTTTGTAAAAGAAAAAAGAATGTGTATTAACCTGATTAATTTATATTATAAAACCCTTAAACTACTTTTTTTATTCCTATTGGCATTTCCATATATCCAAAGATATAATATATAATTAATTCAAACTCTGGTTGAAGAATCCAATAACCAAATTGTGACCAACTTATAAAAGTAGGTGTTCATGAACAATCCGGATATCTTCTAACATGTCCTGCATTTTCCATTTTAATATTTCTTTAGAAATTGAGAAAACAGTATGGAAACGCTAGATTAAGTCGGAAGTAAGACGTTCCTTTTTTAATTTTGAAGCGTCAGGAAAAAAAGACGCCATTCATTCATTTTGTTCTGCGATTTAGATATCCTGTACTAAACTCAAATGTTTATAGAAAAAAAGGTACCAGGGTTATAATTTTGTACGCCAGTTTTGTCTATAAAGAACTCATCGGTGACGCTCGAATAAAACCGTCAAAAGGCTAAATCAAGTGAGAAGGTGAAGAGCATTGCGGACCCGCAATTCCTAAATGTGTTACTTAATATAGCTACAAAAAAGGATTAAATATACCAGGCTTATAGTTTATAAGCTGAGCGGTTTTTAACCCTGAATTCGCATCCTTACAACAGCTCAAAATAACAATTCAAGAGTTCGATTTCTTTTCATAATTAAGAAATTGTATATTTTTTAATGTCATATATATGTAACCAAATTTTACGTTACACAACAAAATTTAAAATCTACGATTGATGAAAACAAAATATATAAAAGACTTACATGTATAATGTTAGACGCATTTATTCGGAGTATCATTAAGGATAATGTATCCTTTTGTTGTTTCAGTGCAAAACATATGGAAATGTTATAAAAAAATCCACAGCCTTTCCCCTATTCCTCCTCTATTTGACAATTTGGTGCTCAATAAAAAGAGGGTTATTGCTGGAAGTGCGAGCAATGATTTCCCTAAAACATATAAATATAAATAAAGATATTTATTAAAATAACTATAAAAATTCACCTAATCAAGTACACATTCTAGGATGCACCCAACTTTATTGACCCACCACGAGGTTTCTCGGATTGTAAAGGTTGTTAAGGACTATTTGTAGACAAGAAACCATATGACATTAAGTGAGTTATTTATGTTTACAATTTCTTAAAGAAAATTTCTGTAATGAAATCGATGTTTTTTATTGCAAAAATCTTTTCCAATTTTTCCATCAAATCCCCCATATTCTTTTAAATGTAATAAACTATTGCTTTGAAAAACGTTTCCCTTTTGTATATGTACAAACTGGCATATCACTTTTATTCTGTATTTTACTCTTTTGATATGGTAGCATTTTAAAAAATTTTGTAATACACAGGCCAACAGAACGGGTCATAAACCTTAACCAATATATTACACAACGTTACATTAAAATCCCTTTGTCGTATTTTACTTTGTAAGTGAATTCGTTCAATTTACACATTAGTTCAATTCAAAAATTAAGTTTAAGTGCAAATCACATGATATGATTTGTGACATAATAAACATAGCTATAAAACAAACTATGTTTTTCAAAAACATCTTTAACATCTTTTTGAACAAAGTCTCTTCGTGTTATGATCCGCAAAGTCACTTTGTTCGTCGTCAAAAATTAAATGTTTATCTATCAAAGAGATTTTTTATATAACAAGAAAAAAAAACCAAATCTCTTTATCAAATTAGGATGCATTTCAATGTTTATAATTTTGAAGTACTGTGCCGAAACGCATAAAACGAATGAAACAAACAAACGCAGCACATCCAATCAGATTGGTGTTTCACACAACAGCATTCTCCAAACGTTGACTTTCTTTTGACATTCGGACTTTTGAATTCATAAATGTAAATTATAATAACGGGTTAATTCTATTTTTTATTTATCTTGTTTAGCAATGAAAATGCCATTAAATAATATAAATGATAGATGTGAAGTTAGCAGCCGGTTTGTTATTCGTAATTCGATATTCAATTTCCAACCGGCTGCTAGCAGTCGGTTCGATATTCAAATTTCTTAGTTGAAAACAATAGAAATTTAAATATTCGATAACGATTAAAAAATGATAGTCATAGACAAAAGGAGTAAAAAGATATGTAGAAAATATTTTTATGACCCCTACAAGCTGTGGTAAATTCTCGTTGTCCTATATTTTTTACCCTAATATAAATCGCACATTTGTCTTTATGAAATATAGATTTTGATCAACAAAATGCAATCAAAGATGTACTTTTATACATGATATTTCTAGAAACAAAAACAAACGATCACTCTAGAAACATTTAGAAATATAAATAGAAATAGAAATAATTATGGAAAGCCAAAATAAGAGAAAAAAAATCGTTGAAAATTCAGTTCACAGGGCACAGGCGATGGCTAGACCTCCCTGATCTCTCAATCTTCATAATATTATGCAGATAGTTAGTTGATATAAAGATACAGATGACATCAAAAGGAATTTGGGTAAACTTATATAGTGAAAACCTACCGGAGACCGCTTAAATGACAATGAGACCCCCCCCTGGTCATTTAATGTCCATAAAATTGAATGATCGTTTAGACCATGTACATATACAGATCGTATCAAAAGGATTTCCCAGAATAATATGATCTTCCACATCTACGGAGGGCTTAAATTATCACTTTTCAGTTAAACATCATTGAAAATTCAGGTCACAGGGCACAGGGCGATGGCTAGACCTCCCTGATCTCTCAATCTTTCTTATATTATGCAGATAGTTAGTTAATATAAAGATACAAATGACATCAACAGTAATTCGGTAAACTTCTTGTCTTCTATGTTTACGGAGTGTAGTGCCAGTTTGATATTCAAAATATATAGTGAAAACCTACCGGCCGCCTTCTTGTTCTATTTCTTCTAACTAAAACATTTTCCGTCAAGATAATGATGTAATGGTGATAGTTTTGTTCAAAGGTTTTTAGTACGACTTTGCCCCCAGCAAAGCTATAGAAAAACAGTACAATAACGGGTGATACACGGACACTTTTTATGAAGATACACGGACTTTTGTTATGAATAGAGTCACTCGTGCATTCAGTGAGTTCATTTGCACTTTATCTTTACAGACTTGACCTGACTACTCTTGCAGAAAAAACTATACAGCAACGGTTGTTACCGGCCAGTTTTTGTGTTACCTTTGTTCTGTATCTAATACATAAAATCATAGCAAAATCGAATTATGTACTACCTATAGATAGTATGATTATGTCAATACAAAACTATTAAGTAATTTTAAAGATTGTTTAAGTGATGACAATTTTGATATTATCCTTCAATATATTCCACTAGTAGCTTTACAAATGTACTTACTATAAAAACAAGAATAGCGATTAATGTATAATAATCTGAATGATTTTTTTGTGTAAAACATCAGATTACTTAAATGTGTTGATAAACAATCGCTATATTGATTTTTAGAATATACTTTAAGCAGTACTGAATTATTACTACTTACAAAATATTATATGGATTTTTATAAGTGAGAGAATAAAGTACTTCTAACCGCTACATGTTGACATAAAAACAAAACAAATATTAAATGCAATCTAGTTCTTGTTGTTCATCAATTTTCATTATGAGTTATTTGATGTGGTTTTAACAATGTCTGCGTACAAACCTATAGAATAATTTGAATTCGTTGGAAATTTTAATTCGTAGTTCCCCTGTACCAAAGAAATCCACGAAAACTAGTATCCATTGAATGATTATGAATTCACGACATCCTTCTATCCACGTTATGAAGAGTTAAAGGTTAAATATTTTTCTTTTTAATCATTTCGTATTATTAATCGGGTTGAGTTAGATAATCCAATGCTTAAGCATTAAATAGGTGACCAATGTTCAGATTTCCTCTCATTCAACTTTTAACATTTAAATATTTACGATACAGTTGCAAGGAACAAATAATGTTAGTTGATTATGTGCCCTTTACAAACATCTTCAAATCGATTAAGTGAATTTGAAATGATTTGAAAAAGGAAATGTTGTATATAAAAGCACACAAGATCTAATGCACGGTTATAAAATTCGAGGAAAATAAAGGCTTTTCTATGATCAATCAATTTGTTAATATCTATTATTCGTATTGCGTTTTGGTGTACTGTGGGAATAGCTTAGCTGTACGACGATGTTTCATCAAGAACGCACTGAGACGTAATTAATCACAAACAAATGGTGTAATACCATTAAAAATTTGCACGTTACATCCGGTTTTTATGTTAAAAAAATAAACTATTCTCCTGAATTTGACGGTTGTGGGAAATTAGTCATTGGAGATATTTTTTCCTGAATTGTTAGCATATATCTTGAT